GACGTTCTTTGCCCGCGCCCCTGACGTCACTGCCCCGCGCCGGCGGCACGTTGGCCTGGCCGTGCAGCGGGCTGGGCCGACGGCAAAAATGTCTATGGCTAGTGATTTCTACCTGCGCTACTACGTAGGGCACAAGGGCAAGTTCGGGCACGAGTTTCTGGAGTTCGAGTTTCGGCCGGACGGTGAGCGGCGGAGGGGCCGCGAGGGAGGGCGAGCCCCCAGCGGGTGGGTTTCTATTTCTGTTCTTCCTTTCTGTGTTATTTCAGTTTTCCTGTTTGGTTTTGAGTCCGGGGTGTGTGTTGGGAGGGGGGGGGGTCTCGTTGTTTAGTCCAGGATGACTTCGAACTCCCGGTCCTCCAGCCGGGCTGGAAGGGCTTCTTTCCGACATAGATTAGAAAGCGCCCGAGCGTGCAGCGTAGCGGGCTTGGGTGTTTGTTTTTGTGAGAGCAAAATTGCTGTAAAGGTATCCAGAAAAGCGCACCCAGCTACCGCCAGCGAAGTTGAACACGGAAAAATCGGAAACCCAGAATGCAGAGCCTGTGCCTCGGCAGTGTTGACGGAATTACCGAGTGATACTTCAGCAGATACTTGAAGTCTTTGGGGGGCCTTTTGGCCTGCTCGCTCATTTACTCTGTGTTGAGGATGCTTTCTAGGGGAGGAAGCTCCCCTGTCTGAACAGGAGTGTGATGTGTGTTAGGCATTGAAATACCGTCTTTATCATGATACGTGGATGGATGGAGGTCAGAGGGAAGGCCCTAAATGAAAGCTTCCCAGAAGCGCCTTTCTCATTGCCTACTAGGTGTTCAGCCCTGTTAAAAAGAAGCTGACTATCTCCTCCCCAGCCACTGGCTGTCAGAGCAAGTAGACGGTGAACACAAGCTCTGTGCTTTCTGAGAGAGGCAAAGGCGGAGGAAGTAGCTGCTGTTGCTCTGGGTGGAGAGTGGAGGACTTGTGTGGTCCCACTCATTGGTGGGAACGACAGATAAGGTTTCCCACGAAATAAGGCTTCATGACCCCCTGCAGAGTGTGTCTGCTGTCCAGTAAGGAGCATACTTGCTGTAGATCAAGGAGAAACATTGTGGATGCCAATCTGATTGTCTTCAGATTGGTTATCATTAAAAAAAAAGGATAGTCCTGGACTGACAGCTAGCAGAGTCCTAAAGCTTTTCAATTTCTCTAAAGATGGTATCTACCAGTATTTTGTCAGAAAGCTCTTAAACAAAGAAGGTAAGAAGTCCGGGGCCAAAGCACCCAAGATTCTCAACTCCAACTTACTGCTCTGAAGAAACAACACACTAAGAAAAACGACAAAGCTGCAGGATATGCTACACTCTTGACCTACAGAATGAAGGAAGCCAAAAACAACAACAACAACAACAACAACAACAACAAAAAACCAAACCAAACACCAAAAAAAACCCCAAAACCCAAAACAACCCCCAAACAAAAAAACACCAGGCATAGATTTCCAAGAGACATAGGCTGTCCTTGCTGAGAACTTCTACTTTTAAGTCTGAGTCCAGTAAAGAGTAACAAATAAATGATCAAACCTTGAGTTGAAAAAAGAAAACAAAAACAAACAAAAAAACCCCAAACCCAAAAGCTTCCCCTAAACCAGGTGTGGTGGCTCATGCTTCTAATCCCAGCACTTTTGGGAGGCAGAGGCAAGTGGAGCTCTGTGAGTTCCAGGCCAGCCTGGTCTATAGAATGAGTTCTGGGATGGCCAGGGCTATACAGAGAAAGTCCTTCTGTAAAAACAAAACAAAATACCAAAAATAAAATACAATAAGCCAAGCTAAAAAAAAAAAAAAAAAAAAAAAAAAAACCCACCCCCAAAAAAAAAAAAAAAAAGTCCCAACCCCATAAAAGCTTCTCCTAGAAGATGAGACACTTGAGATCAAAAGGAAACACTTTCTTGTCTTCTGGGTGAAAGAAAAACCAGAGATGAGCAGAGTGAGCAGTGGTTTGTGGAAGCCCCTCCAGTGTAGTGTAAGGCAGTTCTGTCTGGACAGATCTGCTTTCCTGGGTTTTATTTTTGAATACATATTTAAGTGCCAAAGCTGAAGGTCGAACGTGAGACACAGACTTTTGTTTTTGATTTTGTTTTTTTTGAGACAGGGTTTCTCTGTGTATCTTTGTAGACCAGTCTGGTCTTGAAGTCACAGAGATCGCCTCCCCCTGCCTCCTGAGTGCTGGGATTAAAGACATGTGCCACCACCGCCCGGCTGAGACACAGGCGTTTAATCGTATGACTGTATAGATTTTAATTAAGTGCTGTGGACACGCTTCTTTGAAAAGGAAAGTAGGAGAGGATCATGTATATGAATCAAGCTTTGCAGAAGAAGTCAAGGTAACTGTGATCCTGTAGTTGTTTAGAAACTTAATAACTTTACCCTTTGTTCTCCAAAATTTGTTTGGAGCAAACTTACTTTGTTTTTTTGTGGTTGTGGTGGTGGTTTTGTATTTTTTAATTTGATTTGCTTTTTTTATTTCTTTTGTAGTTCTGTTCTTAGCCCCCTTGGCTGTGAGTGCCATGCAGCTTGTCCTTGTCACCCCGAGTCACACAAATAAGAGTAATACTTACCAGGGAAATGCTCTGTATGGATTGGTTCTCATGCACCTTTGCCACCCAATCATTCCACTTACATGAGAAATAGTGACTCACAGAATTTACAGTTCTTGCTGGGTACACCCCAGTATGGTGATCTGTCATTTTAGCAGATAAGAAAGCCATCACAGCTGTATCAGCCCATGGCTGACTAGCCATGCAGGGATGCACACTTTGGGAGCTTCGGAGGTCATGACAGATGGTTTGAAATAAATCAGCCAACAAACTGGCAGTTTACATGGTCTGCATGCTTCCAGTTATAATTTAAAGATTTTTTTCATTATCTTAATTATACACTAATTTGAAGGAAAACAATTAAGAGAATATTTTGGAATAGTAGAGAAAGGGTTGATACAAAGGAGACTTCTTGAGACTTGTGTGACTCTGAGCAAGTTGCTTAACTTGATTTTATGCCCTGTGAATAGGTGAGAAAGTGGAAGCTGCTGCTCGAATTCCTTTAGAGATCAGAAGAAATGCTGTGAGAGCTGCCTTAAGCATCAGCATGTCACACTTGAAGAGAATACTCAGTGCTTTGTCACAGTCACGTTTAGTTTAGGGGCTAGATTGAGAAAATAATCTTGTTTGTTGTGAACAACTTTAATCCCAGCAGTTAGGACACAGACTGAGGCAGGTGGATAGATCTCTGTGAGTTCAAGACCACCAACCTGACTACACAGTGAGATCTTGTCTCAGAAAGGGGAGGGGGGTGAGAACAGGCCTTAAGAAACCTGACCCATTCTAAATGGAAGCTGTGGAACATTTTTTTAATTATTAGTTTTTATTCTTTTATTAGTTCAAATTAGGAACAAGCTTGCTTCACGTGTCAATCCCTTCTCCCTCTCCCTCCCCTCCACCCAACATCCCAACTGCCCCTAGCCATCCCCCCTCCACTCCCCAGACAGGGTAAGGCCCTCAAAAGGGGCTCCCCAAATTCTACCACATCATGCTGTGGAACATATTTAAGTTTGCTAGCTCACTTTTATATTATTGAGTGTTTATCACTCATCTTACACGAGGAAAGTAGATTTGCTACTAAAAGTGGGATATGAAATTGGCCTTCCCTTTAAAATTGCTCATGGTGTTCTTTATCTCTGCACAGGAAAGCTTAGATACGCCAACAACAGCAATTATAAGAATGATGTGATGATAAGAAAAGAGGTAAGTTGTTCTCTCTCTCTCTCTCTCTCTCTCTCCTTTTTTTGTTTTTTTTCTCATTTGAGATGGGTTCTACCTTTGTAGCCCTGGCTCTCCTGAAACTCACTGTGTAGAACAGGCTGACCTTGAACTCAGGGAGATCCACCTGCCTCTGGCTAAATTCTTTTCAAATGTCTAATATTTTACATTTTGTTCATTTATCTTGTCTGTATTGACAAAAGTTATTCATAGGTTCTGTTTCAATGAAGAAACCAATTTATAGTTGCAAAGGTTTCTCTTTTAATTACATATTACAGCATTTTTTAAAAGTTTCTTTTTCTAACGTGTGTGTGTGTGTGTGTGTGTGTGTGTGTGTGTGTGTGTGTTGTGTCGTGTTGTATTGTATACACATGTAGCAGCATGTATGTAGAAATCAAAGAACAGTTGGTAGGAATTGGTTTTTTCCTACTATGCAGGTTCTAGGGATTGAGCTCAGGTCTTTAGTCTTGGCTGCTTTTATCCCCTTGATGGTTCTGATTTTAGCATTTTGTAATATTTATAGCCTCGTATCATTTAATTCATTTTGTGAAGTGTGATTTTTAAATGAAAGACATGAAAGTGTGGCCTGGACTTAGCCTGCCAGCCCCTGGGTGATTATGTTGTGTCCTTACAATATAGCTCTTACGATGTTCCATTAATTGCAATAAGCAGATTGTTCCTGTTACAACTGGCAGACTGTGGAGCCTTAAAGCAGCTAGTTGTGAGAAGAGGGAAGGGTGTGTGATTAAAGGCAAGAGAGCAGAAAAAAAATTGTGAGATGGATGAATTTGGAATCAAATTCAATTTTTTGCTCCTATTCTGTTGGAATATTTAGGATTTATAGCTTGCTTTTATTATATCTTGCTGAACAGTGGGAAGACAGATGAACCTTATAAGATTTTACTGTCATTGGTTTTCAGGCCTATGTTCACAAGAGTGTAATGGAAGAACTGAAGAGAATTATTGATGACAGTGAAATAACAAAAGAGGACGATGCTTTGTGGCCACCCCCTGACAGGGTTGGCAGACAGGTCTGTGCTTCGTGATTTTTTAAGTGGACAGAGTCAGTTGATACAACGACTGTGTGTTATCTTATACATTCATCATGGTTTCTTATTGAAAGTTTGATTATATAACTTTGTTCTCTTTAAGATTCATACATGCTGGGCAAGCAAGTACTCCATCCAAGTTACACCTCCCAGCTCTTAGCTTGAATTTCTTTGCTATCTTCAACTGTAGAGGAGTCAGCACATAGGTCTAAATTTAGACAGTATTCTACATCTTTTGTCTAGTCTGTCCAGCCAAAGTTAGGATAGTTTGACGCTGCTATGTAAATTATCCATTATTGTTAATTATTTCTATTGTAAATCAGTACAATATTGCTAGCTAAATTTGAGAGCTAGTTCTTATCACTGAGTGCAGCAATTCACTTTTTCCAAATTTTTATCTTTCAGAATTTGTTTATTTGAATGCCCCAGAAAAAGTCTTTTTTTTTTTTTTTCTCCTTTTTTTTTTTTTCTTTTTGTTCAAGTGGACCACTGTATTTGCCTCTTATATTCCCTTCAGAACACTTGATGTTTCTCAGAGTGCTCCCAGAGGACTCTGCAGGCCCAGCTTCACTCTGTATAAAGACAGTTTGGTTTCTGAATTGGGAATTTTCAATTCTCAGAGAAATGAAATACAAGGCCTGGGAGAAAGAAACATTTATTTTCATTTTTCTGTGTTCCTGAGGATTGTACTTTATATCCACTGCTTTCTTTGACTAGAAGACAATGTAGAGAGATCTAATACATGCTCAAAGTAGCAGAGACACAGCTGTTCTGTGGCAAGAGCCCAATGTAGAGTATGGTATAAGGAAAGAGAGGTAGTGATCTGTGTTTCTAAGCTGATATACTTCTTTTAGACGGTAGTTTGGTAGTATATATCAGAAAATGTCAATATTTTCCATCTGTTTTTGCCTTAGTGATCTAATTTCTGAATTATCAGTTCTAGAAAAATACCTGCAGATATGGAGAGGGCGTCATTAGAAATGAAAATGTTTCTCTCCTAGGGAGAGCCAGTGCTTGTATTTTGCCCTGGTGATGTGTTCTCATGATGGGTAGCAGGCCTGTTCCAGAAATTGCCACTGGATAGTTAAACCAAGAATTTTGTGATTATTAGAGAATCTTAGCTAATTCGTAATTTGCTGTATCTCATAAAGTGCAGAGTTAGGCCTTTTGATTAAATAACTAGGGCTATCTTTTCTAGCATCTGCTTGGTAATTCAATGTAAAAACTTCAAACATGCAGCCTTTTCATTAGCCTTAGATTTCTGAATAAGCAGTACAGATAAAATTTATATGATGGTAATGGTGGTGGAGCAACCACATCACATTGTATTGTCTTATAAGTTCTACTTTTCACTGAATTTCAGAGAGTATTAGTCTCTCAAGTGGGAACAATACTGTTTTTTTCTCTTCTGTTCAATTTTATATAGTGCCAAGTACTTTTATTCACCAGAGATAGTTATTTATTTTTCTCCAAGAATATATAAACACACAGTCTTTATAGTAACATATGAATACGTACTTCTACATTATAAATGTTAACTTATATTTTAAAAACCCAATATAAAAAGTAAATATGATACTTAAATATACTTAAGTATATTTTTATCTCCTTTATATTGGCAGTTTTGAGTGCCCTAAAATAGTATTACATAATATTTTATAATGTTAATATGATTAAGGGAACATTACTGTTATGGTTACATTACTCCTGGTTATTGATATCATTGTGTGTTCTGTGCTTTATGAGTTTAGGATTGTACATTTGTGAAATAGGGTTAATGAAGTCTGTACCCCTTGTAAAGGTGTTTTAGGGACTGCAGAGAGTGTGTGTAAAATCCCAGCATTCAGGCCTGATGTGTGGCAGGTGCCAAAACAGTAGCCATTGTTAATATATTTGTAGAAACTCACCTAAAGGGAAATGCATTTTGTGATATTTTATGTGGGCTTGTATTTGTATAATAATTTCTATAACACATGCAACAGCTCTCATATTTACCAACATCATAAGCATTTCTGGGTCGTTTTGTCTGAGCCCCTTTTTTATGATGGCTCTGGGAAGGAGTTCTGGCTTGGTCCTGAAACTGAGGTTATATTAAGAGAATTCAATCTAGCACATTAAATTTCTTTTGGAGAGAGTCTCCCTGTGTAGCCTGGCTGGTATGGAACTTCTCTGTAGCCCAGACTGGCTTTAGACTTGAGACAATCCTCCTGCCTTGCCTCCTGAGTGCTGGGATTATAAGCATGTGCCACCATGATTGGCTGAGAGTAAATTTCTGGCCCCCTCCCATTAAGTTCTAGAAAGTTTCCACCTCTTTGTAGCATGAATATGGATATCTTCTGTCTTCTGGAGTAGACTTTGTTGTTGTTGTTGATGATGCTATTTCTCTGCTGTTTTTGTTTTCAGGAACTTGAAATTGTGATTGGGGATGAACACATTTCTTTTACCACATCAAAAATAGGTTCTCTTATTGATGTCAATCAATCCAAGTAAGTGTACTGAAATGTTTGTATGAGCTGATGGAACGCATTAGTGAGGCTCCTGCCAACTGTGGTCTGTTAGCAAGGCCGTTTAGTATTTAGATGCCATTGGGACTTTCTAAAAGTAGCTACACACTTGTTATCCTGTCTGCCAGAGAAATTAACAGTGTAGCATTGCATAATAATACCTGATTTTTGTGGGTCATTTTGTATTAAAAAGCCTGGTTATAATGTCATAAAATGTAAAGGAAGAAAATTTTTGCATTGATCAGCTTCATTGGGCTCATATTATAACATACTTTCCTTTGGGTTTAGCACTGGAAAGAAACAGTAGGCATGTGTGTGAGCCACCTTTGTGTCCTCAGGTTCTGTGCAGCACATACTTAAGCTTTGTTGGCCTGAGTCATTGAGTCATTTCTTCATGCTCCTTTCCCTCAAAGTGTCCCCATATTGTTGCTGTTGCTTCATGTTGCCCTAAATCATAACTTACTTGAGTATGAGCTGCATAAGAACCTTGCTTTGTCTTCAGAGTTAGAATAGTGGCTGGCACACAGTAGGTGCTTCAGGTAAGGGGAGAGGAATGCATGCATAATAGTAGCAGGACACCCGTGTTCATGAAGAACAGGTGTGTTTTTAAACCTGTAAAGACATCGCTACAGTTGGTGAGGACATGGGCTGTGTACTCCGGTGCTCTTAAGCCATCAGTGAGCGCTGCTGAACTGCAGTCCTCCTTACAGGGAGAGGGAGGCGCTAATGGTTCCCTTTGTTCCCTTCAGTTGCTCCAAATGTTCCTTTTCCCTAAATTTTATAAGCTTAATTGGTTCAAATAGTTTGGTTTGCTTCAGGAATTTATAAGATTGTGTTTCATGGGAAACAAAAGGTAACGTTTATTTATTTATTGTTTTTAATTTTAGGGATCCTGAAGGCCTCCGTGTATTTTACTATTTGGTGCAGGACTTGAAATGCTTAGTGTTCAGTCTCATTGGACTTCATTTCAAGATTAAGCCAATTTGAATGGGATACTTTTGAGGTTATTTATATATTTAATTAAAGGAATTTTTTTATTGACAATTTTGAGATTTTTATGAATGTGAAACTTTTGTATATAAACTCAATATTTGAAAAAAAAAAACCAGGTTTAATGGTTTTCCTCTCTTGGTCCATGTGGACTAGACAGTCCCTATATGCAATTGATTCTGTAAATAAAAGCCTTTTTTTTTTTTCTGTTGAAATTTTGCTCTAATAAAATGTACCAAAGCCTGGGAGTCTGTTGTTGTTGTGCTGTGCTGTGTGTGTGTGTGTGTGTGTGTGTGTGTGTGTGTGTGTCCTGGCTGGATCAGTGACTCGCTTTAAGGATCCTAAGTTGTTCTGGTTGGTAGAGCTTAGAGCAGAGGCTGCTCATCTGGAAATCCAAAGCCACACCCCACCTGCTGAAGGTAGCATAGAGTCACTATTCTGTTTCCATACTTCATAGGACTTACCTTTGTGACATTTACTGAGGTTGTTTACAAAGGTTGGAGATTTTTTTTTTTTTTCATTATCAGAAGCCTTCTTGGCATACTTCACATTTAAATATTTTCTCAAGTTGTTGAAAGAGCATAGTCGGTACCCCACATTTGCCTGTCTTATTGTGCCCTTATTCCTGTGTGTGTGCATACCTGGAGGAGCTGAGTTGTGGAAAGAGCATAGTCAGTACCCCACATTTGCCTGTCTTATTGTGCCCTTATTCCTGTGTGTGTGCATACCTGGAGGAGCTGAGTTGTGGAAAGAGCATAGTCAGTACCCCACATTTGCCTGTCTTATTGTGCCCTTATTCCTGTGTGTGTGCATACCTGGAGGAGCTGAGTTGTGGAAAGAGCATAGTCAGTACCCCACATTTGCCTGTCTTATTGTGCCCTTATTCCTGTGTGTGTGCATACCTGGAGGAGCTGAGTTGAAGCTTTACAAAGTTACGTGAAGTTTTCTTTTAACCACATATGGTGTGCATGCCTGTTGTCAGACTCTCACTGGAAACGGTGTTCATGTTTCCCAGGTCCTTCCGACTTTCTACTTTCTACCTCGTTATCCCTGCTAGTACTGCTGCTGGTGTCCTCTTCTTCCTCCTCCTTCTGGATGTTCTCAAACTCACAGAGATCTGTTTGCCTCTGCCTCCTGAGTTGGAGGACTAAAGGTGTGTACCACCATGTTACCAGAGCAGAAACCCTAGCACTAGGAAAAAGATGCTGAAGGGTCAGGAGTTCTATGCCTATTTCGGCATTATAGTCAGTTCTAGACTAGTGTAGGCTACATGAAACCCTATCTGTAAAGAAGCATGGGTTAGGAGAGGTGAGCTGAACTTACAGATTCCCCTGATGGTGAGCAGGGGAGTATATTAGTGCACCCACAAATATGCCTGGTGCCTGCAAGAGCCCAGAAGAGGGTGCTGGATTCCTTGGGACTGGAATTACCCACATGTGGGTGCTCGGATCCAAATTCAAGTCCTCTGGAAGAGCAGCCCGGGCTCTTGGACATGGAGCCACCTCTTCAGCCCCCATTTTTCTTATGACCTATAAGTGATTTTATCCCTGACTGACACAGAGCCCAAATATCCACTTGAAACCCTTCTTCGCACCCCTTTTGCCATTCTTACTGAGTTCCAGAGCATCTCTTTCATTTCTCCTGTCTCAGTGCTTGTGGCTCAGCAAGGACTGTGAGTGGGTACCATAATGCAGAGTTTTAGAACAGATGTGATTGCAAATGCTAGGACACATGGGGCGGTTTAGGGCACAGGAAATCTTAAAATAGAGCTCTTCTCTGTTTTCCTAAGAGCTGTGAAGTTTACCATAGTTCAGAGTTGTGAAAAGTCCACCTTAAGACAAGTACCAAGAGGTGTGAAGCTGGCCAGGACCAGCCAATCAGTTCTCCCGTTGAAGCCCGTGAGTCAGCCCATCCTTCCCTGTGGGCTGGTGGCTACTGCAGGTGTTTGTCACCTCAGCCTGGGACAGGAAAAACAGCCTTCAGCTGTGAAATGATGATGCCCCTGAGGTCTGAGGGTCCCACTAGAAGATTTGAAAGTGACTAGAATTGTATCTGTCTAAACATAGTAGGACAGGCTGTTGCGGTTTCACAAATAAAGGCTTTTGACAGCAAAGAAGTCAGGGAAATGTGTGTATATGTGTGGTTTTTGTGTTTTTTTTTTCTCTCACAAAAGTAAATTTAGAAGACAAAATTCAAGAAAACAAAACATTTAAGTTTCTCACCCTTTTTATTAGACCGTCATGCAAAGTTCGATACTTCCTGTTTTGTGCTGCACTTTGTTCAAAGAGCCACAATGGGAGTGTCAGTCCATTGCCTCTGAGGTGATTCTATCATCCAGTGCTATTTGTGCTCGTTTTCAGCTTAGAGTCTTCTAGAAAATCAGCGCTTAGTTGTACCCAGCTGTACCCAGGAAGCTGCTGCTCTTTGGCTTTACAGTTATTGGTATCCTCCTGTCTGTGTATTCAACCAAAACCCCAAATTCCCATTCTGTGTTCAGTTTTTGTTAGCTTTCCTCCCTTATCAAGCAAACTGGTAGGCAGCTCACATCCTGTTCATGCTTTGGTAGCAGTAATCAGCAAAACAGACGGAGTTCTCACTCACAGACTTTGTGTGGTGTTAGAGGAGGCAAACTCTGTAGAAAGCACAAAGAAGCAAGTCTGGCACTTACTTGCTTAGCCTCCGGGGTGAAGATGACTCCCTCTCAGCAGACATAAGAGTATAAAAAGCACCATTAATTTATCCGTGGGTGATGTGACATAAACCCCCTGATCTGGAGCAACAACCTGAGTTTTCTAGAGAGCAGTGGCTCCTGCTGTAGATCGTGCTTGTTCTCACTTTGGCTCATGTACCTTCCCCAGCCTGTTCTTCCAAACACCTGCACCCTTTGACCGAGTCAGGTAGAAAACCTAGCTCATCCTGTGTCTTAGAGAAATGTCTGTGGCTAGAAAGCTTTTTTTTTTTTTTTAAGTCATTTTGAAATCTAAGAGCTTTAAAAAATTATTTTTTTATTTTTTTGTGCATTGTTTTGCCTGCATGAATGCTTGTGTGAGGGTATCAGATCTTGGAGTTATAGACAGTTGTTAGCTGCCATGTGGGTACTGGGAATTAAACCTGGGTCCTCTGGGAAAGCAGTTAGTGCTCTTAACTGCCAAGCCACCTCTCCAGCCCCCAAATCTAAAAGTTTTTTTTTCTCTACATTCCTGATTACAGTTTTGCAGTTGTTCCAACCCTGCATTCTCTCCATGTTAAAAAAAATGACTTTTAATATGCAGTGTTTTGCTCAAATTTATATGGCAAGGAAAGATTAAAGTCTTGGACTTTAAATATAATGTTGAATGGAAGTTTACCATCCATTTGCCAGATTACAACTAAAAATTTTATTTATGAAGCTGGGCCTGGTGGCTCACACCCCTAATCCCAGCACTTGGGAGGCAGGCAGGAGAGTCCCAGGCAAACCTGGTGTATATGGTGAATTCCAGGCCAACCAGGACTACATAATGAGACCCTGCCTCAAACAAAACAAAACAAAAAGCTATTTGTGTATCTTATTACATCTTCACAGCAAGCCTGAAGAGAAATGGCACTTCTTTATTTTTTTCTTTCTGTGATCAAAGGCCGTGAATGATGGGATTTATCTGAAGTCACAGGAGCTTGTTGGTGTTTCTACTCATGTCTCTCCAGGTACCAAACTCATGTGTTGTGGCAAGCTAAAATGCAGGGCCTTCTGAGGCCACATGGTATTCTTAGTTTGTGTATTCAGTAGGGCTTTGTTTATAGGTCCCGAGACACAAGGCATCCTTCAGTAAATTAGCTTTCCTTTGGAAAGCTGAGACAACGCAAGTATCCGCCTGCACGGGACAGAGTGTCTGCCACCTTCTCCACCCCCACTGCCATCTCCTCCAAGCACAACTTTCTTAAATCTCTTTTCATTCATTCCTTGGTTTTGGTGGTGTGTGTATGTTGTGGATTTTTTTTTTTTTGTTGTTGTTGTTTTGTTTTTTACTCTTTACTCTTTGCTCTTTTGGGGGCCCACCACTCAACTCCCAAATAAATCACATGGAGTCTTATTCTTTCTTTTGAATGCCTGGCCTTAGTTTGGCTTATTTCTTGCCATTTTTTTCTTAAAAGTATCCCATCTATCTTTTGCCTCTGGGCTTTTTTTCTTTCTGTATTCTGTATATATTTCTTTACTTCTTACTCCATGTCTTGCTGTGTAGTTGGGTGGCTGATCCCTGGAGTCCTTCTCTCCCCCTTTTCTTGTTCCTCCTACTTATTCTTTGCCTGCCAGCCCCACCTATCCTTTCCCCTGCCTCACTATTGGCTGTTCATCTCCTTATCAGACCAATCAGGTGTTTTAGACAGGCAAAGTAATGCAGCTTCACAGAGCTAAACAAATGCAACATAAAAGAATGCAACACATCTTTGCATCATTAAACAACTATTCCACAGCAGAAACAAATGTAATACATCTCTGATTAATATTCTATAGTGTGTGTGTGTGTGTGTGTGTGTGTGTGTGTGTGTGTGTTGCTAAGACTAAAGATATAGTCCTCCAGAATTTGGGGATAGAGACAAAAGTAACTAATGGGAGGTATTCTGGAAACATCCTTTCTGCATCCAAGGAACTTTGCTTACACTATTGAGATGCGTTCATATCTAGACCTCTGGTGCACAACAATGGCAGACTTCAGTAGTGACTCAGAGATATCGGGGTTTAGGAACCAAAAAGGAGACCTGTGAGATGACTCAGTGAGTAAAAGTAATGGGCACCCGTGGTTGAAGAAAAGAACTAACTAAGTATTCCTTTGACACTCACATAGACCCCATGGCATCCATGTACTCAGACTCACACAAACACCTATCAAACACAATAATAAAACAATTTAAATGTTTTTTTAAGTCTACTGAAGAACAATCTAAGATAGAAACTGGCCATGTAAGACATAGGCAGCATAACCTAGTGGTGAGAACAGGAGTGGACAGTTAGGAGGGAGCTTTGGAGGTGGGAGCAAGTGAAGGCAAAGAGAATGATGAATGAAGACTGGGCTAGAGGTTAGTAAAGGAAGAGATGTAGGGAGACACCCTAGGCCCGCCCAATAGTCCTGGGACAGGTACCAGGTGGACCCGGGACTCGCCCATAAGGGCGTGGTGAAGGAAAGCCGGGGTGACGTAAGGGAGCTTCTTAAGGGGCTGCAGGTGGGCACCCGGGCCCCTTTTTTTCTGGCCGCGCTTGCTGGGTTCTATAACC